CCCCCAAGAATAGGGAATTATCTTTCTTTTAAAGAATAAGGTAATGTATGTAAGCAGCAAGCCCCATATTTACTCACTTTTCAAAAATAAACTAAGATAATATGCAAGTACCCCATATCACTTATAAACATAACTAATTCTTAAAAACATTTTAATTAAACTTGTAAGGCTGCTATATAAAGTGGTTTAAAAGTATCAACTGACAGTAAGATTCAGGGCTATGAGGGCCTCAAAACTGCAACTGAGAAATGATTGGAAATGACAGCTATTTCCAACTTAATGATTAAAGGTGGAATGCACACCAGAATTTTGTATGTGCTCATTCCACATACAACTAGAAAAAAATTGTAAACTCTGAAAATTTCATATGTGTTGTATGACTTATTAATAATTGTTTTATCCAGTTGTAATAAGAAAATGACAATCAAGTGAGTCACAAAGGCCACACCTGAAATTTCACTTTAGACTACATGATGCCAAATTTTTAACCTAAAAAGAAAACTGCCAACTTCCCAAAATGTAGTAAGTTAGCATAAATTCAAGTCTGGTGCTACATGAGCCTGAGAACATTACAGTTTCAAACTAGTAAAATCTAAAGGGAAAAGGGCCATCTATCTACATAGAACTCACTGGATCACAAGAGACTTAAAAATCTTGAAATTTTTTTTGACTATGTGTATTTGCTTCCTATGTATGAAGGAAAAGTCACACAATAAAAATAAATTCTCAAAGTACGTTTTATATCTATATGATAAAGAGAGCTAACAACCCCAAACACAAAAGCATAACAAATGTCACCAAATCTAAAGACGAACTCTTATGATATGTACCAGTACAAAATGCTGCCAATTAAAAGTGTGATTATCAATGATCTAAAAATTCAACTTCAGGGATATTTGATTAAAAAATATATGCATATTAAAATGGGTAAAATAATTTATTACTTTTTTCTTTTGTATCTGATTCATTGTAGTACCACCCTATACAGTGCAATTATTTTATATGGTATATTTGCTCCAAAAATAAATATTAATTAAATGTGAAAAAATAAATAAATAAGATGGGTAAAATATACCGTTTTTATGTTTTCTAATTCAAATTTCAGAAAATAATTTTTGTGAAAGTTATGAGAATCTCTTTAAATATTCCCTGCATCAAAAGTCAAGAACCCTGAGAACTAGCACAGGTTGGAGCACTACCTCGATTCAAAAATTTTAAATCACAAATACTCTAAAATCTGGTCAATTTTGCACTTTTCAGGGATAAATTGAAGCTTTTATCAGTAAATGGATGCAACTAGAGAAAAGAAAGTTTTCAAGAAATACTTGTAAATGGCACTAGCCAGACATTACCAATTTACTTTCTCCCCCGACATCCACCTCAAAGCAGAACTGCCAGCTACTTAAGTGTAGCTTCTCAAATATCTTTTAGACGCCCTCAAATACACAAGGAATGCACTCCTACATACAGTGCCCTAGGAGGCGGATCACCTTCCTATTACCAGGGGAAGAAGGACTGTATCACTGTGCACAACCCAAAGCCCCGTACTCTGTCCAGAGCATGATCTCGGGCTGCTGATAGCTGCCACTCTGTGGCTCAACACTAATTCTAATGAAACATCTAGACAATGCTTTCCTGAACCTTCTTGCTCTTTTGTAGGCTCAACAGATATCCTTGATATCACTTAAATGACACTTAATCCCTCCGCATTACCCAGGAATACAAGCTTGAGTTTGAATGGTAGAATAATAAAATAATTCAGACCTCATTCCTTTAAAGAACTCTGATTCCCTGGCTGTTAGAAACATACCAGCTAACATCATGGAAAAGTCTGAATATGACTGATAGCAGTAGATACAGTAGAAGTTGAGGAAACTTCCAGTATAAATATAAAGGCTTTTGCAACATCATCAGCTTTTATTTAATTTAATTTATTTATTTATTTATTTATTTATTTATTTATTTATTTTGCGGAAACAGGGATTGAACTCAGGCCCTTGTGCTTGCCAGGAAAGTGCTTATTCTACTGAGCCATCTCCCCAGCGCCATCATCAGCTTTTAAGTAGGAGGCATCATCTGTGAGTGGGCTTGAGAAGAATTCACTATGAAAGATCAGTTAAGAAGCAGCTAATGAATGTGATCACCCCCAGTACCAACATCACACATGTTACATTACTATACTTTCCTTGCTAAAGTACAACATAATCAGTATTTTTAAAAGTATTTGGATGGTTGTCCATTCATGTATAAATCTCAGAACAGGGTCATTAAATGCAATCAAAAATTTCCTTTACAAGTCATAATCCTATTGGTATTCTCAGGGTTGATTTTTCAGCCCTTTGTTTTCTTTACATTTATTCCCACTAAGCTAAACTGATAGGCTCAGATGTAATGAAGCAAAGAAAGAAAGGCCCATGTGTGCTCCCCAAGGGCGGGGTGACAGGACTGACAGGTGCTGCAGATGCTTCTGCAGCAGACACAATTGAGTGCTGACTGAAGTTAAGTCTGGAGCAAAGAGCATGCATATAGTGTGAGTCTGTAGGAGCGCTCAAGATCTGGGAAGTAAAAACATCATTACTACTACTCATTTATAACCTGAAGGGTTATGTCCACGTTTTCCATATCACTTTAAGAGGGCAGAAAGCATATCATATTAGATAAGTTTCCAGTGTTTAGGGGCAGCAGTTGTGTTTTCTAGGGATAACAAGAACCATAGGCTGTGTCATGGTCTGGGGTTCTCACAAGTGGAACAATGTAATACAGGATACATTTTATAATAGTATTTTATAATGAATCACCCAAGAATCATATACAAGAAGTGTGAGAAATCTGTCCACACACACAAACATTAAGACTCCCACTGATGGCTTGGATCCTAATATTCTGCATGAGTCCAAATGAAAACCTATAGCTCATTAACAAGGCCTCCCACAAGTCTAACCTGAGGCTTAGAACCCACAACAACCAAGTCTCAGGCAAGTCCACTTCACAGATCCATGCTGGAAAGGCCCAAAGGTCAGTGGTAGAATCTATGCCAGTGGAATAAGGGATCTGTGCTAGCAGGCTGAGGGATCTATACTACAGCTAGGAAGCAATGTTCAAGGTAAGCACCAGAGCTCCCCAAAAGTACCATGGCCATCCTCAGTAACGGTAAGGTCCTGAGCTCCTCCTGTGATGAGGAAAGCAGAGTTCCCCTCAGGAAGCCCATGTGACAAGCTTCTCCATGAGGCTGAGCAGTGCACCATCTTCCCTGTTGGAGCTAGAAGGTGATGCTCAAGATGAGGACCAGAGCTCCTTCAAAGTAGGAAAACTAGCATGACACGGTCCTCCAGGAGAACTAGCAGCTACCTTCCAACAGCTCCAATGGCTTCTCCAAACAGCATCACTAATAGTGTTCTGGCAACATCTCCTGTTCTGCCTTTATGCTGCTGGCAACAATTCTCAGATAGGCCTCCCATATCCAGTAGCATGCTAGTTTAATTCAGCTGGGTGTAATAAGCTGACCACCAATTTGAAATCCACTATAGGCTCATAGGCTTTTCTAGCCAAATTTACATTGGCAACAATATCTGAAAGACCAACATATATACGGATACAAAAAGCACACAAAAAGTAGATACACTATTCTTTAGTTATGAGGATAGTACGCAGCATCAAAGGGCTATGCTTGAGGTTTTATTTTCTAGCAGCAATGATGAGTCTGTGCTGAATTCCCATCACACTCCTGTCCCAAACTCTACAACTTAAGTGACAACACAAATTCAGAAGCAAGGTCTACATCTGATGCCTCAAATAATGTTCACAAAATCACACATTGTTCTCTGTGTCTTGAATTTCTGTTGTTTGAGTTCACCTTATGGTAAGAATTGTTTGAAATCCATTATCAGTAAGAAATGATTACATGGCATTTGTCTACTTTTCCAAGAAATGGGACTCTTCCCAAGGGCAGGTGTTATCTACAGCTGAGATTATCTGAGATCAGAGCTAACTCAAAAGAGGCGGTTTTGAGGAAAAGGTTGCCTCAATACCAAAATATTTAACCCAAGGAGACTACCTTAAGCAGAACTATACTCACTGGAATTCAGGATTTCTACTCTGCTTTCTTTTAAAGGCAGTGACAACAGAGACTGTTTCCATAAAGACATTATATTATGCCACCATATTCATTTTAATTCCTCTGCATGAGGTCCTATTTTATAATGGTGATCAAAATAGATGTAATTTAAAAATACTGCAAATGATCAGAGTTAGATTTTTAGGGCTGGGGAGATTCCTGCCTGGCAAGTGCAAGGACCTGGGTTTGATCCCAAGTACCACATGCCATGCCAACCCCGGAACCCCAAGAATACCAATCAAGCCACTGAAACTGGGAGTGGTGTTGCATGCCCACAATCCCAGCGCTGGGGAGGCTGGGACAGGAGGATCGCTACAAATCTGAGCTGCACTGCAAGACCCGGTATCAAATAAAGAAATAAGATTTCCTTTAAAAATTTAGATTTTTTTTTAAAAAGTGAGTCATTTCAACTCCTTTTAAAGCTTAAATTGTGCTTCCATACCATAATGATTGTGAATTGTTTCCTTTCTGCAATTTCCGCATCTCAGAAGCTCCGCAAGGAAGAGCAACCAAGATGGGGAAGAAGGTATGAAACTCACAAAAAAGTACATCCGTTGGTAAAATTATCAAATTTGGTTACAATTATGGGTGTGGCACACATTTAAATCTAGTAATAGCCTCTTGGAGTGAAGAAAGCAGTAAGAAAATAAAAGATTCCAACTCAAATTCTTTCTTCGAAATGTGTTTCTTTTCCGGAAGCTAGGATGGCTTCAGTGCTTTCAACAGGCAGACAGGATGTGAAAGAGCATTTTCACTGGATCTGGGTAAACTCTCTGATCCTGTGAGTAAAAATTTTTATACCACATCATCTAAATACCTAGGTATACCTACCTACAAGACACTTAAGAAATACCAGTGCTAGGAAATTATTTTAAAAGTCATTTACCTATGTTGATTGCAGTTTCCTGTTTGTCTCCAGTCAAAACCCATATCTTAATTTCTGCCTTCAGCAGAGTCGCTATGGTTTCTGGAACCCCAGTCTGAAGGCGGTCTTCTATGGCTGTGGCTCCCAGTAACAGTAAATTCTAGATTGAAAAACACCTTCAGTTAGAGATCAGTCACAATTCATAACAATGCTGACAAAGCCAACCAAAAAGTTCTGAGATGGTTAACTCAATCCTCTACACCAAACCCAGGTCTGTAGGTGACTAATGATATCTAGGTTTGGGGCATTCCAAACTCTTCACCATGCTGGGGCTGCTCCACACACAGGGAACTAGCACTCATCTTTCATTCCTTGGTCCTGAGGCATGGCAGGATAGAGTGCACAAGGAGGTGACTGTCCCAATGTTAACAGTGGATGAGCCCGTGCTCTCATTCCACCGCAAAGTAAAGCATCATGCTGCATTTAACTTCTGAGAAGAACTGATTTTAGCTGATCCTCTCTCATCTGGAGGTATAATGACAAGAGATCATGCATGCACAAGGGCCCTGGGTTGAATCTCCAGCATCATTTACTAGCTAGAGGGAAAACACCAAAGTGTCTTAAGATTAGGTTGTATAAAATATGTCCCTTTGTCGTACTCTTCCAAGCAGTTGCACTGAGGATGGCTGTCATTGTAATGAATCTCTATAGATACTTGGGCTCTGTCTACCATCACACAGATTCCAGAGAGCTGCACAGAGGGCCCACGCATCCCCACAGACATACCCCAGGTCTCTCTATGACACAGCATTTTAGCTCTCTACAACTAGACCACCAGAAAGTCCAGCTGCTTTCCTGAGTACTACATACACATGGCACACATCTGATTACATTTTTCTGATCCTAAAAGTAATTTTGGATATTTCCAGTATGAAATTAAACTTGGCCTAAACTTGTCTCTATACTTGGTCTAAAAAATTTGGCCCAAAATGGAATTTGCGCAGTAGAAAGCTATATCTTAGACTGATAAGCAAACTGCAACCCAACCAAAAAGTATACCCCTAAAACGAAGCAAGCAACTCTTACTAATGAAAGAAGCTGAGCCTCCAGCCAATCAGGGACTGCAATGTGTCCCTATGTGGCAAATGCTGTCTGAACCAACCCAACAGTTTCTATGTGTCACCCTCTTTTATCTTGCTGTAAATACAGCTTGTGCATTAAGTGAGCTCTGGTTGTCATCTTCCATCAGGAGTGCTGCTCTGTTTAGAACTTTGCCTTGCTCAAGCAAATTTAGATGATGTTAACTCGTCTTTTTTTATTCTAACCAGTAAAGCAGGGAAAAATCCATGCTTGATTTTGGTATCACTGCTATTAAGATTTCATTAAAATGACCAAACATGAACAACTGAATATAAAGCTGTAGCAAACACTCAGAAAAAGCAAAGGGGAATTTTTTTTAATGAAGGAATGAAAAACAGCAAACAATTGATGTCCTTAGATGTGTTGAAACTGAAAAATGATCCCATGGTTCCTAACATCATTGGGGAAAAGGTGAAGCTTAGTTTCCAAATTTGAGAGAATCTAGGGAAGTAAAAAGAGACCTAATGTTTAAGTCATAACAAAAAGTAAAATAAAAAATCAAAGTAGGCTATAAAACATATAGTAAAGCATAGGTATTATTAGAATAAGTATATGCAAGGTCTAATCAGCCTACTATACAACATTCTCAAAAGGGTAACCTAATAGCTTCACATAACTCAACAGGGTGACCTAATATCATGAAGTTCAATCTTAGGGCAAACCCAGAAAGTAATTGACACAGTTTTTGCTTGATATTTCTTTCTTTCTTTTATTTTTTACCTGACATTTCCAAAGATATCATTAGCTGTTTGCTCTAGGTGGCTAGATCTTTCAGATAATCTCCGAATACTAAGTGTTTCTAAAACAAAGACCGATTCAAAGCTAAGAGTTCATCAAGACATTTAGAAAAAAGAAAGCACTGCTATATAGAATGCATTCTTCTTCAAAGACTTTGTTCAAGTAGGCAGTAAGGTCCTCCTGTAGGATCAGAAAAACCACTCCCTGTGTAGTCACCTTCTCGATGATCTCGTAACACTCTTCCAGCCTCTGAGCGCGGTCTTTCAAGATGATGCTGGCTTCCTGATAGACTTTCAGCCATTCCTCATACTCATGCTCGGAGAGGTCAGCGTAAGCCACACAGAGGGTCCGCAATCCTGCAAGCAGGCAGTGTGAATGGGATAGAGAAGATGCTATAATTTACATCCTAAGAGAGGTCATGTGTCTTCCTTTTACATCCCCACGCTCAAGTAATAAAAGAAGGGCCTGCTTTCCAAGCCACTCTAATTCAGCATTCACACATCTACAGAGGGAATTTAAAGAGGGCTCTACTGTATTCTTAAAAAAAAAAAACCACTTTTCTATAAATCTTATAAATGTTGTATAGCAGAAGGTGCAGAAGCCATGCGCATGCACATGTGTGAGGCAGAAATCTTCAAGTGGGATGTGTGTTTCAAGACAGCAATAAAAGCCCAATATGGGATCACATTAAAGATCCTAGTTTCCAAGCAGCTGTGCCCTGGGGTAAGCACACATGTGCTCACACTCCTCTGTGCCGATGCTCTCGTGCAGCCCCACGAACACACCATGGAGCGCGAGCAGCAGCAGCAGACTCCAGCTACCATCACAGCCCCTCGCAGGAAAATCTGACTTCAGCATTGTTCTGGGCTTGCAGAGAGCTCCTCTCCTGCTCTCTGTGGGTTAGGCGAACTACTTCCTTAAGTCCTGGATAAGCCAGTGTCATAATCATAACAGGAGAGGCACAGAGAAGCACATTTTCCAGGATAGGAACACGATGCAACTTCTGTACTCCTAGTCAGAATTAGCAGAGTCACGTCAAGAAATTGAATTTGGTCTTTGCCCCTTATTTTGCCACTGCCAAAGGCACAAAATGTGGCAGTGAGAGGGGATCGGGTAGGCACCTGAAGAATACACTCCTGTGAAGCAAGCTAAGTGTTTCATCCTAATGATGCATCTACTCAAAACAGGACTGCCTACCCAAGCATCAGCTGTAAACACTTAAAAGTACAGCTTCAAAGATCAAAAATAAACTTTTTGAATTTTGCTTACCTTCTGTAGCAAAGTACTCCAGATGGCATAATGTTTCCTCCATGTACTTTGAATCTTTTGAAAGTCTTTCAAAAATTACATTATCCTATAAAAGAAGGAAACATGGATTGTAACTGGCAGGCCCTTACGGAAATCTTCCCGTCAGCATGCTAAGCATGGTTTGGTTTAATTGTGTTTATTCAGTGGACATGAAAATACTTGAGTGGGTAAGATTAGTCTTTGGTTGGGCTCAGGCATGAGCTTTGAAAAAAAAAAAAAAAACTGGGCATGGATATGTCCAACAAAACCAAAAGCTATTATGTACCTTAAAAGCCAAGTAAAAACATGGTGGGACCTTAGGAGGCAACAGAATAACCAAGGACACAACAGTACGTAAGTTCACACACTATCTACCAACCCTCGCCCTAAAGTACAGACTGAGTATCCCTTGTCTGAGTTACTTGGAACCAGAAGTGCTGCAAACTTTGGAGGTTTTTTTTTTCAGATTTTGGAATAGTATCTGCATATACATGAAATATCTACAGGTTAGGAACCATGCCTAAACACAAAATTCATTCATGTTCCACATACACTTTATTCACACACAGCCTGAAGGTGGTTTTATACAATACATTTGCTGTGCCTGTATTTTAATTTATATGAGGTCAGACACAGAACTTTCCACTGAAGTCAATGATCAAAAGATTGAGATTTTGGAACATTTTGAATTTTTGGATTAGGGATGTTCCACCTGTGATACAGAAATGTTAGAGGTTTTCTATATAGAAACAGAAGGAGTAAAATACACATCCTAAAGTTACTCAAGTACGGCTTTGCTTGCCAACACTGGGGTCACCTTATAGCCCAGTGCCTGTGACCGTTTGCAAGGCTACAAGCAGGACTGGAGGTCTGAGTGCCACAGATAAACTATCAAATGTGCTACACATTGCACTGTATCAGGACATGGATTTCAAAAACTAGTTTGGTTTAGGGGCAGGTTTGGAGATATAGTGATTGAATTCTATCAGAATGAAATAACCCTCGCAGCATTCTTACATGTGCACTGTTCCATGTGTATAGTATAGCCTTCCTCTCTCTGCTACCTCTCACATTCTAGGATGCTGAGAACACATGGGGAAAAAATAGAAATTTCTAAAAATGCATCATGGGATGCATCTCAGGGACTTTAACTAAAGTTGCTGTCATAAAATCAGTATTCTTTTACAGGTCTAAATACAATGCCTTTAGAAATCCCACACAGTATTCATTTTTAAAATCCCTAGTCATGGTGCACTAACAATCTTTTTTCTTACACCTGGTAGAGATTAGTGAGATTTTTAACCAATATTGATCCTGGGATAATGTCGGATGCTTGACATAGTCTCATAAAATAAGCATAGAAGTTCTTTCCCTCCACCCATAAGACCACCATTTAACAGGATATAATTTTACAGTAAGATTTATAAACAATAATATCTTTCCTTAGAGATAGCATCTTTGGGTTTGATCATGGGTGCTGGCAACACAGGACAAAATTCCTGACCCAGGCAACTGACCAAAAGGAGCTGGAAAAATGCAGCCACACAAGCACACTCCCTGTGGACCTACTGCCATGAAGAGAACATAAATCATGATGACTCGGAAGCACAGCTGCTAGAGAACCACCTTCTACCGGATGATCTAAAGAAGCTCGGCACAGGCCAGCACATATTACTTTATAGAGTCACAACACAATGGTGGTAAAACTGGAGTCAGAGCTCAGCCTCCACACTGAGTTGCTTCCCACACTGAGTTGCTCTTTCTGAAACTAATAGCTGACTGGACGCACACTCCTCCGACTGCCCCTGCCATGCTGCTCGAACCACAGTATCTTCAGGAGCCATATTGCTATGACCTCAGCCCAAATGAGCTTTTAAATGTTGAGCAAACAACTAGGGGATGAGGAGATCAGCAGTTAGGAAAAGCAGTGGGTTAACAAGGTAACCAGCAATGCCCTGTTTAGGAGACACCATGCAGACACTTACAGCACCCTTACAGTAGAGTCGAAGCTGCCCCGAAGGAGTTCGGACAATTACAGACATTCTTTTCCTGTCACTGTAAGAAAACAGAAAGTCGTCATGGGTCTGTTCTATAGAAAGAAATTATAAATAAGCAAAAGGGCCCTAATTCAGCATGAGTCCTCGCCTCTCTCTTCCACACACATCTGTCGTCACGGTCCATTCCCCACTCTCCGGGCTTCTGAGCTTCCTGTTGCCCACATTACTTCTCCTCTTGTTGTTGCCCACTTAGGCAGGCTGGCCTCACCGCACAGGCCCTCCCCTACACCAGCGGGCTCCTAGCACCCAAGACTAGCCATTCTCTACCCCTGTCCATTCTTCTTATACCTTTTTTGACATTTCACCTTTCTGAAATGGACCTCAAGTCCAGTGGGGTCCAGACACCCCTCTTTGTGGCCTCCTCATTTGATGATTCCATTGAATAGCACACTCTGAAGAATGGGAGCCTCAATTCTCCAGTTCTCAATAAATTTCCACATCCTGACCTGTAGGACTGTCTTACCTGGATTTGTATTCTTGCTTAGCTACCTTAGAAATTAAAACTTTTGTTTTCATTTCTAGATGAATAAAATCTAGCACCCCAAAAGGGTACCATAGAATTAAGTGTATGAGGAAAACAATGAGGCAATTAAAACCACCATTATAATCACAAATGACATTTCTCTTCCCTCCTATCTTGTGGTCTTTTTAAAATACATCTTTGCATCTCTATCCATATTCATATGTTTTTATCTAACTCTCTTTATACTCTTTTACCATTAACCAACAGTTCTAGTTCATGTAGCCACTACACAACACAGATTCTAACAGGAAACTTTTGGGATACAATGTAAAATCTAGAAAGATGTGTAATATGCCTCTGACCACACACTTCCTACGTGAACTACTCGTTATTCACCATCCCCTGTCTCTCACTGAATGTCCAACCCAAAGGGCTTCTGATCCACCAAATTCAAGCTTAAAATCCTAAAAGTAGAGACCAAGGCTAAAAAGAATTTCTTAGAATGAGATTAAAAATTGACCATCAAACAGCATATAGTACAAACTATGAATCATTTAACAAAGGTTCTTTAAAAACCCTCTAATTTTAATCACAGGAAAAGATATTTTTAGGTATCAATAAAACCTAGCCCTAGGAATTAGTCATCAATGTGGTTCTTCATAACAAATCATGAATTTTCCCAACAAATATTTCTGGATATATATATATATATATATATATATATATATATATATATGACTTACAATATATAGAAACACAATATATATTAATATATATATATACATATATATTCCAACATATATTTCTGAACCGGGGATAATGCTTTGGAATGTGTACTAGAGGGCTGCCCTACATAGACAAGGCCTCTGATGGGATAACTGATCAGAGTTGTCATCATTTATCAGGTTTGCAGGCCCCAGAGGAGCACTCAGGTGTGGCAGAAGGCATAACCTCCTGCCAAAAACACCCTCACACAGTGCCTACGTGGATGTGTGTGTGTCTGTTTTTGCGCGTGTCAGGGGTCTGTGGAGCTCTGGGGGGGGGGAGGGATGTGTGTGTGTCATTTTTTGGAAAAAAAAAGAAAGAAAAAGGACCTACTTCACTTTCTTTCACTGAAGTCAAAAAATTAAATAAAAAAGGATTGAGGAGGTATATTTTACTTTATTTAATGCTTAAGTATTAATCCTATCAAACATTTATGTGAATGTGCAAATAAAGTTTTAAATAGATATTAAAATTTCAAGTATATGGAAGAGAAACATACCTGGAAAATTCCAAGACATTAAGAATCCCAAATGTCTGTTCCTGTCCCATCTGCAGTAAGAAAAACAGGCAAAATAGCAAAATAGCAAAATCTCAAAGCATCTGCCCGCAATCATAAATGCTTTCTTCCCATCCTCGAGCCTCTGATGACCACCTCTTCACCTGGAGCTGGTCTCTCACAAGTTTGATGGGATCACAGCGCCCTCTTCTGGTATGATAGAAGCTTCTCTTCCCTCAGTTACTACCTCTAAGTGATGACCGGGAAAGAGGCAAGCTACACAGCACCCTCAGAAACCCTGTAGCCAGTGATGCTTGATAAGCTCAGGATTTTACGCATTTGATACAGGTCTATGCATATATCTTACTAGCACATGTCCCCAACAGGGTGAGACCCCTGAATCTTCTGTCAAAAAACATAAGACAGCCAAGCCAGCTGAGTAAGGGCCATATAGACCACAAGTAGGCTTGTGTCAGTCCTCAGCAGGTTTAATGCCAAATTACTATTCCCCAAATTTGCAGGGGAAAATTGGAACTCAAAGGTTGAGAGATTAAGAGTTCCAGATAAGGGATTATGAACATACACCTGGTCTTAGGATGACTAACATTAAACGCTCCTTTGGAGTCTCTCAAGTTAGAATATCAATATTCACAATTTCTCCACCTGAAAAAAGTTTTAGATTGTGTTCACACCATTTCCAAATTTTTAAATTTGATAACACATTAACCAATGGTTAACTGGTTATCCTTAGCTGTCCTAAGACTCACAATCAAGGTGAGTCCACTTATGCCACTAAGTATGTGACCTTCTTATGAATGATGACAGTATTATTCTCTCAGGCTTCACAGAAGTATCAATGAAGTAACAGACAAATTACCACATCTGTGACTGAGCCAGTTATCATTTCCCACCACCGTTCTGTACCCGTCTCACTGCACCCTAACGTACTCCTAATGATGCACGTAAGCCTTCCCTGCTCACTGCCAGCAGCAACTTCCTCTACCCCACGGTCACACCAACCATGTTTTCACAAACACAGTTGGGAGTTGTGGGGAAGGAGGGACATGCAAGTGTAACCTTTTGGGAAAAAAAGAAAAAGAAACAGCCACAAATCCTCTAGTTGCTCACCAGCTCCTTCCACAAAGGGTTCTTGCTGACCACCGTGACCACAGACATGGCTACTGTGACCACCTCAACAACCCTTTTTTTCTTAGAATTTGTGACTTCAGTGAAAGAAAGTGAAGTAGGAATTGTGAATATTGATATTCTAACTTGAGAGACTCAAATGAAAAGGAGCGTTTAATGTTAGTCATCCTAACATCATCTTCCTTTGTTTGTTTTTCTTTTTTCCCCAGGGCACCTATTCTACTGTACTATCTTCCTGGCCCCTTTTTGTTTTTCTTTTTAGTCACTATGAGGGAAATTCCACAATCAGTATTTCATTTTGCTAATAATGACTGCACTTTTCCTAAAGCTGTCCTGCGTTGATTGAAAGAAAGTAGAAATAAATGTGATCAGATCACCATACACCAAAAGAAATTGAAGATGCCAAGAGATTGGCATTTTGTATGAAGTCTGACATTTTACAGATTTCAGTATTTTCTAAATAAAAGGAAAAAAATTACTATACTGCTTAGAAGCTAACTTCAAGTATGTTTAAAAGGTCTGGGGACTTAAGAATGTATTAAGCTAAAAACTATAGTACTGCATCATTTTTCCCCAAATTGATGGGATGACAAAGAAGACATTAACTGTCAGCAGGACTTCATAGGCCAAAGAGGGACACAACATTTGAGATTGGTCCTCATAGCAACAACGGTGCTGTTCCTGTCCTAACCATCATTGTCCCCTGTTGCCCATACAGGTGGGGCTTTGCTAATGTGAAAATCCAGATTCAAAGATATTTGCAGCACTGAAGTGCCAACACAAGGAAACCCACACCTGACCTCCTGGGAGCAGTCAGTCAAAACACAAGTGCACTAAAATTTCTGTAAAGATGTCTTTCAGACTGTGTGGACAAGGTGTCTATGACACATAAATGGATTTCAAGTCTAGACTTGCAGCCCCTCCCAAGGCATCTTCTTATGGCTATGCCAATAATTCAAAGTCTGAAAAAGAAACTGAAATCTGAAACATTTCAGGTTTCCAAATATATTGAGTAATGGATACTCAATTATCTGATTACTAAATGTCTCCTCTCTGGTGAACAGGAGAAAAACTCAAAACAAATAATAACAACAAAACAAACTCCTTGACATCGGGGAGGAGACACAATCATAAATGTAGAAGATCTCAAGCTCTGGCTCCCACCCCTCATAGCCAGAGACAATGCCTATGGACGGAGGGTCCCTGTGCAGCTCTTTGGTGCTGCAGCTAGAGATGTGTGGAGTCTGCCTCAGAGACAGGGGGACATGACGCCATTCTCCCAGCTTCAGGAGAGAAGACTTGCAAAGTTCTTTGCCACAGTGATACAACAGTGTACTGAGGACTTACAGAGCTCTTTCAAAGGGAGAAATTATAGCAATGCCAAGTAACAGATATGAGGTGATACAATGACATAAAATTATAGCAACTGAGTATTTCAAGCCTATTATTTCCCCCTCTGATAAAAGAAAAAAAAATCTATCCAGGACCTTCACAATGAATACATGATTTCCAACACACAATCTTCAGAGGTCTGGAATGTGCAAAGATTCAGCCCTTACCGCCTCTATGATGACAGAGTATGGGGTTCTGGCTGTGAAGACGAAACCCAGCTTCTTGGCTCCTTTCACCAATGCAGCTTCATCTGTCAGGCAGAAGTTGGTGAAATACCGGTTAATCCTGCATTGTGACAGAATTCTCTTAAGGGCCATTCTTCAAACTAAAACTCCTCGTGGTAAGGTAGACGGGTGCTATCTGTGCAGCAGTAAGGACCTCTTGAGGGGTCAGGAGACAGGACCCCTCACTCTTCCTACCACATAGGCCCAAAATAAGCCCTTTGGTAGGATGCAAAGATGTGGGCTGAGAGCTAACTGACCAGGAAAAGAGTGACCTTCACTCCTGCAGTTCTCAGTTGGGACCGAGTTCTCCTAGGCAACCTGATGCTGCATTCTCACTGACTGAGCATCTCTTCCCAACAAGGCTGCATCTTGGTTGCAGTACTGTGGGATTCAGACCACCTAGAAGCAGGCAAAGAGCAGTGGCTCCAATACACAGCATCCTCAGGAGCTGCAAATCTACAACATGATTGATGCATCCCCCGGAGTCTCTGGAAGATTCTTCCTGCACCAGTAACTATTGCTGAGAAATGCCAGCTGGCAGGGGTCAGGTCCTCTCTGACATCAAAGGGTCACCAAGACAGTCATGAGAGCCCAGAACTGGCTCTTGCAAGTTTCATATCTGCAGCCCAACCTGGGAGTACTGTGAGGCCAGCAGGGCTTGGGGTGGGGGGAAGCCTGTTCCCTGCTTCTCCCCCAATCCCCACAGATACCCCCATCTCCAGGGTGGAGCTGGCAGGGCACAACCACCAAGTACCCTCACCTGGGGAGGAGGCCTGGTACAGGATCTCATCTCCATCCTTCTCAGGAACGACAGTGTGGCACACAGCCAGCAGGGTGAGGAACTCCTGTATGCAAGGGGCTGTAGGCTACAAGTAAGAGACTACGTTAG